AAGCCTGGACCTTCCAGAGCCATGTTAGACAATGCATGGAGTTGTCCAGCACTCCTTTAGGGAGGCTGTAGCTTCCTCCCTTCATGTGCAGAGTATGTGTGTGTGTATAAGGGGGCACCCTCGGCCAAGTGGGGTGCGGGAGGCCAAGGGAAGGCGCCATGGACTTGCCTCCTGCTGAGGACTCACTTCTAAGGCAAACAYGGCCATGGGCAGCCTTTTCCTGACCAAAAAGACAACGCAGACAACTGCACCAGGGCGCAGGAGAAGCGAGCCGTCCCCTCCACAGGCCCAACCATCGCTGCCTCCCCAGCTGGCCAGCATCTCACTGTAAATATTTAGAGTGGCATTAAAAACCCAAAGGAGAAGTTCTCGCTGCGTGCCAGAGAACACTAGCTACCCAAACAGACGGCCCGCTCGCGCGCTCTGTGTACGCGCCCTCGCCGTGGCGCGCTGCGGTGATTGATCCAGCTCCGTATCTCTGCTCTGGCTCTAACGCTGTGCTGGCTCTTTAGCTCTTCTGGCCTCCTCTTGGCAGTCGCCGTGGGTTATTTTTTTAACCCTTAAAGAATCTAATGATTCTCTGACTTCACTAACGATGCTGTTTTATGGGGTTGGGAAAGGGTAGATAGGATGTTCCTCTGCTTTAGACACTGATAAATGTGACAGTTGCTTGGAAGGTCCCAGTGTAGAGGGCTTGGCATGGTTGTGCAAACTCCTTGCAGCCCAGGGGACGGCATGTGCTGATTAAATAGCTGCTCTGCTAACTCAGGGCTGGGATGCTGCTGTGACGAGGAGCTTCGTTTGCAGCTCGCTCTTCTTCTTCAATGCATCTCCAAGTGGACACATCAGTAAGGCGCTTACCAACACAGTTACCCAAGCTATTCTTCTGATCATAATTTTTTCAACCAAATTCTGCAGCTGAACCTGCAGCAAATGCCTAGGTAAGACTGCTTTTATAAATAAACTAGAAATATTTTTCACAATATATTCTAGGAACTGGAAGAGCCTGTCAAGGAATGGCCACTCTTCTGTAATGCTGGCTACTTACCGTTTCTGAGGTGTTGCTTGGTTTTGGAGTCAGGTTTTGGAGTCAGACCTTTGATCTGACCCAGGGCAGCTCTTCTTCTGCTTCAGTGTAATGGGATGATGAAAGAGCTATTACCATGTGCTAAGCAGCAGAGTGGAAAAAAGCAGTAATCTAATCAGGTGGCACACGGGGACGCGGAGCGGGCTGGTGATGTCAGGCAGCTCCTGAGACACATGCGCTGATCCTATTACAGTGCAGGTGAAAACGAACAAATGCGAAGGAGGAAAAAGGGAGTGTTTGAAGCAAAGGCTCCACAGTAGTATGGGGGTTGCCCCAAAGGCTATCAGCTCTCCCAGGATTAGGAGAGTGATCATCCCCTCTCCAAAATTCAGTCTAAATCGATCAGGAACAAGAAAAATTACTCCTTATTATAGTGTTAATAAAACTGCAAGAGGAAACAATAAACAGGCTTGATAGCCCTTGTTATAAAATAAGGCATTTAGAGGGATCCCGGTTAATTCTGTGCCGTGAGTGGCAGTTGGCCATGGGTTCATCTCCAGCCTGTTAGCTCCACACTGGGAGAGCAGGGAGCCATTCAGGGATCCTGGGCAGCCTGGCAGGGTGTGCACAGGCCCCATGGAGAGCTTGGTCCGTGGGTTCTGTGGGGTGAGACGGACGCATGGCACCATTTGGCTTGTTGTAAACCAGTGGGGAAAGAAAAATGGGAGCAGAAAGGAAATCTGATGTGGTAGGGATTATTAGATTTATGCATCATATACTTACATGGGCACATAAATGTATATCAGAATATACATAGTGAGAGCATGAGAGGAGATATATGTCTGTATTACCAAACTAAACAAATGTGTCTGGAGCAGAGGCCCTAGCGCTGTGAGAATCCACGTGGTTAAATTGGCTTTTGGTGACGTTTTAACTCATGTCAAGCAGTGTTCCTAAAAAATACCCAGGCCTGGGTCAGGGAGAGGAACTTTTCTGCTAAGCTTATGTGTCCGTATCTTACGCAGCTGGTAACACCTGCAGCTGTCATGCATCACACAAGTGACAGGCCCCACTGGTGAAGGCAACTCTACCTCATGGCCCAGCACCTGGTTTCTGACGCGGTGGATGCTCCCGACTGAAGCAGCATCCCTCATTTCCGTCTGTGGCAGAGTGTGGTTTCAGTATTTGCCTCACTGTTTAGGGAAACAGTGTTTTGACCCCATCCTCTAGTTCCTTGGTTGACATTTCAGCTTCACCAAGGGCAATTAAACTCCCTGAACAGGTAAGGAACATAGAAGACATTGAGAAACAAACCTAATCCACCATGATTACGTGGAAGTCTATTCCATTCTGCCAAGAATTAGATATCATTTATTCTTCCCAGTGAGGTAAATCTGTGATCTCCTAATGACAAACTCTCTGATTCTTCTAGAGTCATTGGAAGATACAGGTTGGGGAGGACCCCAGGATCTCATCTAGTCCAATCACCTACTCAGAGCAGGGCTAGCCTTAAAGTCAGCACAGGTTGCTCAGGGCCTTGTCCTGAGGAGTTTGGGTGTTTTTAAAAGATGGATAATTTAACATCCTCTCTGAGCAACCTGCTCCAGTGCTAAACGACACTCATTTTTTTTTTCTATGCATCCAATAGGAGTTTCCTTTGTTGAAACTTGTGACTTCTACCTCTTGCCTGTGTAAAAGTCTGCTAACTTCTGTCTGCTGCTATTTTTTGCCAAGCATCCAGTCTTTTTCCTCTTTTTTAAACCCCGATACTCTTGTGATCCTTCTCTCTCCTTTCTATGCAACCAATGCACTACTCATTGCAACAGATGCTTTACTCATCTTCTATTTAGATACTCAGCAAATGATTTCACAGAGTGCATTATCTTACAGCTGTCACTTGCACGGATATATTTGATTCTGATCTAACCTGCCTCTGGTTGTGATTCTGCAGGCTGGGAAACGGACTCGTTCTGTAGGCTTGAAATCTGAATTTGAAGTTTGAACCCCTAAATTTGAACTTGCAACATTTACTACAGAGGCAGGGGCACAAATTTTACTCTTGCAGCATTGGAGAGAGCGAGTAACAAGCTTCACTGACATCAATGTATGTACTGTGTAGAAAAAGATTTACAGATAAATATAGCATATAATTCAGCATTTATTTTAACCCAAGATGTGCTGGTGTGAACTCTAGCTTTCGGCCTGGTTGCAAGCCAATCTTTAATCAAGACTGAAAGATTAAGATGGAAGCGATTGTACTCTTCCTTCTTTAGTCAGAATGACCTATTAGTGTTAATTGAAACAGTCTTCAGGCAAAAATCAATTTAGCTGCTAGAGCTAGGCCCTTCACATTCACTTTAAATAAGCACATAGTTGATTTTAAAGGTGATGAACTTCTAGAGGTTTCACAGAAACAGGGATGTAGCTATTGGCACCSCTGTTTGATCTTTTTAAAACAAGTCCTTTGTCTAAGTCAGATCCTCCATGTCCATTCCAAAGACCTGCTGGCTTTTTCTCCAAACTGCATCATTTGAGAATGGGTACCTGCCTGCTTATCTTAGACTGAGCATGCAATCTGACCTCTGAGGGATAAAATATCTCTGAGAACACTGGACACCTAAGTAGACTATTCATGTATCTCTTTCTACAGTCTCTGGTTACAAGAGCCCCATGGCAGCAGCAAGGAGGAGATATGCAGATCCCACACTTCTCCATGTTGTCTGGGTCTGCAAATTAAAACACCTTTGATGAAGTTAAATCCTGAAGCACATGGTTCATTTCAGGTTTAGTATCTACCTCTGATATTCTTTCATTGACAGAAATGTTGCCAAAGGAYGACTGATCTCCTAAATATTGGAATTAAATACTGCTATATGTGTGAAATGTATCAATCATAATTCCAAAAAGTCCTCCATCTTTCCCATTATCCGTCTGTCTGTCACATCTTTAGACTATAATTAGGGGTCCACATACTATTGCTGTGACGTTGATACAAGTGAGGAGAAAGAGGCCCCGTTCTTCAGAGATACTATTGTCAATAGTATTCTATTGTCAATAGGAATTAGATGTCAAAACGTCTCAGAGGAGTGTGCACTATACTCRAAAGAAAGAAGGGACTAAACACAGAAAAGAGCTCCTAAGATCATCTCCTTGACCCAGGCTCTCCTCTCTCTTCTTATATCTCAGATTCTGTCATTTTRTTTTTAACTTACATCATAATAATTCAAATTGAATAATTCAACTTGAATGGGCTTTAGGAGGTTTTTAGCCCAGTCTCTTGTGAAAGAAAGTCAGCAACGAGGCCAGACCAGGTTGCTTAGGAGGTTATCCAGTTGGGTGTTGGAAACCTCCAAGGATAGAGGCTGCTCAGTGCTCYTGGGATAAATGTCTCCTCGTGTGGAAACAGCATTTTCCTGCCTGAGAGCTCCACTTCATGAAGATCTCCTTCCTGTCCAGCTCTGCTTTGCACTGTATCACAGGAGCTGGTGCTGATGGAGACTGCAGATCCTTAGCTCCTTTGGGGGATGACTTAGGAGGTGCCTGTGCTAAGAGGACATCTATWCAGACAGAGAAACCATTACAGCTTTCCCTGCTGATAGCAGGGTTTTACTCAGGGCGTGATTTAAGTMATTAATTCGCAGCTCCTGGGTTTGGTTAAGAGGTGTGATAATGAGCTGAGAAGAAATTAGCCTCCAATTTCTCTTGGCAGGACCTGTAATGGCATGACAAGACATCCTTCAGATTGGGGATAAAAATGCAGGGAAAGAACAAGGATAATCTTCTGAATTGGAGAAAGACTACCCAGAAGACATAATGTCAGAAAATAAAGATTCCTCCACATACGCAAACACAAAGAGGTCAACTTAGATTTAGTTTTCTAAAATATCTTTATTGCTTAAGGACATTTGGCAAGATACCCGTAACATAAACCTCACGTCCAGCATTACTTGGCAACGTGTTTCTCAGCTGGAAAGAAAATAAATTGGATTTTTTTCTTTTTGCTAATGCCACATTTTTGGATGCTACTTTGGAAATTAATCAAGAGGTGGCTGCTCAGCATGCCTCTCTGTTCTTGATGGCTTTTTAGTGTAAAAGAGCCAGCAGCAACTTTCTGAAGTCCCCAGAGGTATCAGACTGGACAGCTTCAGCTAGTGACTTGTTGTACTTTTGCTGGTACTTCTCCTTTATTGCTGGCAGGTCAGTCTGAGGAGACAAGAAGAGCCTCTTTAGAAGAATGGGATGTGCTTTGCATAACATGTCCTGCTTCTACTAATCCCCCCAAAGTCCACTGGGAAGAGTAGAGGAGAAAGCAGGAGGTCCAAAACCCYGAAGGGCTTTCGGGTTAATGTTTGGACCTCATGTCCAAAGGACATTCGGACATGAGGTCCAGACATCAACCTAAGCTGCATGTACGGTGTGGTGATGGGACACCAGCTGCAAGGTGGGGTAGAGGGGGTGCAGACAGCCATGCTGTAGGGATTAGTGGTACCATGAGGGCACAACTTTGGCACTGCACAAACTAGGACAGGTTGTTGTGGTCTCCTGAGGCCACTCTTTGGTGGCAAGAAGGGAAAGAATCACATCCAGAAGTGTGACTAAATGACAGTTGTATTCTTCCAGCCACAGGTAATTTTCTGGTAGGTGTGGAGGGAGGATGACATGCCTGGTCTTAAGCTTTCCCATGAAAAGGCACTCAGGGCATGGATCTGTTCTGCATTATTATGGATTTTAAATGTTATCATGACTGGATCACAGAGGGGCTACCTTGGAGACTAGTTTCCAGTTTTCACGCTAGAGATCACTGAGATTAGATACAGATCATCTCTCACATCTCTAYGAACAGCTCCTCTATGTAAAGATGGAAACAGCCCTGGTGCTACAACCTGAATAGCTTATACAGAAGGAAGTTTTAAAGACACTGCTTAGGATCTGAAACGTGCAGTGTTGTGCTTTTTAAAATCATAATTACGTCCTTTGGCTCTTTATTTTTCTTCCTTCCTCCATCTGTTTTTCCCAGCTATAATCAGAAAGAATTGGCAACATATGATTATAAGTGGCGCTCAATTTGAGAACTGCTGTTTTATATTGATCAACATTATCTTAACTAGCATTTTACTTATAAAGATCTTTCCATGGCCAGCTCTCCCCATGGGCCAGTTTATCTAGGTAAAGTTGGCATCACTTGAAATTGCCTTCATGCTTCCATGTTCAGTTCTTTTGAARGCAAAAGTATGTGCAATATGAAAATTAGGATGCCTATGTACAAAAGTGGAGTGTGAACACTGACATCAATGGCTCTAGATCAGGTTGACTGAGCACATAGACTACCAGGACTTACCTTGTACCCTTTAAATTTGTATTTCTCCCCAAACTAATTTGAAATATGACTGATTGCAGGGTACCCTACCTCAGACCGGGTCACAAGRACGCGAATCAAGGTCTCTTCATCAGTCCCAGTTCCTTTCATTGCGTTGTACAGAAGTGTAGCAAAGTAACCTGGGCAGTCTTTGGCAGAGCTGACTAGAGAAGAACAGTAAGAGGTTTTTTTATACTTGTTACATTTACACTCTGTACTATGTCTTCAGTGAGAAGGAAAAAGGTAAGGCAGAAATAAAGAAAACTCTTTAGGGTTTGTACTTAGGCAGACATAGGAACTGGTAGGACTTTGCTATCCCTAGGGATCCCCTATTGGTATGCTAGGAGGAGACTTGGAGTGTAAATGTGAACATACGCTGCTTGCTCCATGATGAAATGATTAGCACCAAATACACTGCTGGAGCCACAGTGAGAATGACACGAATGGGAATGAGGATTTGTCCCTCTGGAGATTTCCTTCCCATCGTCTCCGGGGATAGCTGCTTACTGCGCAGCTTGAAAAAACAAGGTCCTAGATCCTCTTCCCCCACACAGAAAAAATCTACCCCAGTGAATTAACTAGAGACAGGGCACAGGCTTCAATACTGATCACAGCCATCCACAGAGCTAAATTGCTACCATGGTCCCTGCACACTTGGGGAGTGACAAGATAGCACACTTCTGATGATGCCCAGGCAGGGGCTGGGGTCGCTGGGGACAGTTTGGAGGAAGCCACACCATTTTTTTAGGATAAAATAATTTAGCTGTGTGGAGAGCAGATGTATCTGGGCTGATTAATTTCTAAAATCATTAGATTCCAATCATTATTTAAACCTAGGTCTCATTTGCCTGGCAGTTCTTTTTAGTTTAGGAGTATCTCAACAGTTCTCACCATACCCTGAAGAGTTAATATCAGATGGAGATAAGAACTAGAAAAGAAAGCTATTCAAATATTTCCTTTACCAAGAGTGAGATAGGCCTTCTCCAGATCTCCAGATGTTTCACTTTTAATGGCTTCTTCTATGTCTTTCCCATGCAGCTACAAGGACAACAAAGAGGAGCCATCAGAGCCGCTGTCTGTACACATAATCCCATTGCCATAAAACCAGCATCAGATTTTGGATTCAATGGAAAAAGGCCAGTTTTGATCCCTTTCAGYCTTTCCAAGGGAGTAATTCAAGGGCAAAGGAAGTCCTCCTCTGGGGTAAATGCTCATAAATTCACTGGCATCAAGGGAAAAGGATATAAAAAGCCAAGTGAGGCAGAACAGATAAGAGATGAATAACCTAAGTCCAGCAGTTGTACTTTCATCCAAGTGCTTCTCTGACAAAGAAGCTGCAGTTTCTTCTTGAGTAACCCTTAATCAGGAGAAACTGAGCTCTCTCTAATTCCTTTATCAAGAATCTGGATGGTTCCCACACAAACATGATAATTTTTTTGTGCTTTGGCAGCTATAAGAARGTTTGACACTTATTGTATTGGGGCTCCCAGAGATAGCTGTTCCTGAGTTTCTATATTATTCGGTATGAAAGTGTCAGGATGAAGAAGGGGAAAAGCAGACTGCCACTTCAAAAACGCAGCTTATCCTCACTCCTGTGAACTAAAGAAAATCTCAAAGTCTTTTACTTTCTTCTGTTTTGCCTGTCAGGATAGTCCTGTAYGGCTCAATGCTATAAGAGGCTCAGATCCGGAGACCACAGCTACTCGCCAGCAAGGGATACCCGCTAGCCTTGAACTGCAAAATCCAAGCTTGTTTAGATATGTCCCCATTTAYCTTTCCAAATGCAGGGAAAGACTGCTGTTTGCATGGCCCTAATCTTGGCCTGCTTCTCCCTCAAACACAGGCAGGCAGGATGTGGATGGATCGGTTTGGGCAATGTGATCTGCTTGGCTTTAGAAATCCAAAAGCCAAAGTATCTTGGATAATGGATCATTTAATCCAACCCCTACGGTTTGGGCTGCTTGGAGGAGGGAGTAGTAGTTAGTGACTGGTTTGGTCCTCTTGCCAGCAAGAAACCAAGGCTTGGATTAAGCTGTGAATGTATTTCCAACTACGGGTTCTTTATTATGCTGACACTGAAGTATGGTCCTGACTGAAGGTTTTACATCTTCAGTGCCTAGGGTTACAATTTTCTGATGATCTTAGAGTCACTGCAAGGAAGTTTGGAGCTGTTGAGCAGGAGGCTAGAGGGGGGACCTTTTCTTGGAATAAACGGGTTAAACAGCTGCTCTATATGTACGAGAGYACTTTTCCCAAAGCAGGAGGATCAGGATAAGACACCCAGTCAGGCTCTGCTTGGGAGAAGAAGAGATGAGAAGGGCAAAACTCTGCTTCAGGGCAGTAAATTGTGAAGTTATCCCTTTGCTGGTCCTCCTGCAGAAGTGGGGACAAATCTCTCGGTGCAGTTGTGGAAAGAAAAGGGCATCATGACATTTACTTGGCTGGATATTGTACAGGCTAYAAGAGAAAACACCTTCTTCACTGGCAGAAGGCACAGCTTTTAGGCTCTATTTCTATAAGATCAGGATGCAGTCCTATAGAAACCTTCTCCAAGAAACTTAGAACACTGAACAGTTTTCAAAATAGGAAACAGAAGATGGCCAGCTCTATGTGCAGCTGTGGGGCCTGCACACTTYGTGCCGGGCCCTGCTGAGTGTAGAAGAGCAAAACTCACCTTTTCATAGGCCTCAAAAGTAGCTCTCAGCTGCGGGTAGCTCCTCTTTGCTAGGACCACGTTGAAAGCCAGCTCGTCCGTTCCCCAGCGGCCTTCCCCTGCCTTGAAGATTATATGAGCTTTCCTCAGAGAGTTTCTTTATCCCCGGTGGAAAGAAGACGGCAGTCGGAGCCCGGGACTCGCCTAGCAGTCCCTGCCACCTCGGAGGCGTCRCGGAGCCGCAAAGCGCCGAGCGATGGGTTTACCCCCGCAATGGCACTTACCTCATACAGCTCTCTGGCATCCTGCCCGGCCAGCACTGCGTTGACCTCTTGGTCTTCATCTCGGTTTGCCTACAGAAAAGSACATTTCATTAAAAAATAGAAAAAAGGGGAAGAAAAAGCCCAAGGGCCAGGTAGTCTTTGCAGAGGAAGGAAAGTTTGTCAGGGGCTCTGGGCCCTCACAACCCCTTTGGTTAGAGTTTTGCTGCCATCTGCTGACAACTGGGTAGCAATTGGGCAGGTTGGGCCTTAGCAATACGGGACAGAAGGATGTTCTTGGGGACATCACTGGCATTTGCTGATTTTGGTGGTGCAGCGAAAGGACAGGTCTGTCCCTCAGGTCCATCCACGGCAGACACCACCAGGACGATTTTTAGGGAATTTGCTGCCACATCCATCATTCAGCTACCCAGAAAACATTCCCCAAGCTGCAAGTGCTGTCACTTCTTAGGGCAGTCCCTGGGCCCTGCGAGCAGCACTATGTCCCTCTGCACTTCCCTCACTAATCCRTGTGCCCTGGGTGTTTGCTAAAGCTGTAATTCCTGATGGAAACCATGAAGAGCTTCCCCATGTGTAAACYTAGTGTCTGTCTCTCCTGAAGATACCCTGTGAGAGGCTGAGCAGAGCTGTGCAATATCCTGCTGYGCAATGGGAACCAACTGCGGCATGTTCAGCGATGTGACTGTCATGCTCCTAAAATTTCTTGTATATATTGATTTATTTTTATGCYAAGGGCTGTCTGCTGTCCACCTGACTGTCTACCACAGCAACTGCCCCTYATCTTCCTACTCTTCTTGCTTCTTCTCACAGTGTTCCTACAGAGAAGCTGATTTTTGTCCTTTCATCAAGTGAATGTGAAATAAAGTGAGTTCTAACCCCAAATATGCTTGTTATTTGTGAATGGGAAATCAAGAACCTATCACTTTTTCTTATTTGTGTTGCAGATTCCTCAGCTGAAACAGAAATGGTATTTTGCCAGGTTTAGATGGAAACCAGCACGAAGTGGCCCTGACTTCGAGCGGATATTCCAGCCATTTCCACTTCATAAACAATAATAAAGTAACAACCTGTCATCTTCAAGATACCAGAATTTGTAAAATTACCTGTGATTTTATCTAAACTCTTCAGTTATATTAAAGAGCTGTACAMACAGAAGGTTCTTATTCTGATGAAAGCCTTATGCCCGTTGTAACTATTCTGTAATTACTATAATTACCAACTAATACTCATTAGCATTACCCAGTGCCTCTGTCAGGCATGGCACACAGGGACATCCCAGCCTTACCTCCAGTACAGTGACTAATATCTTCTGTAGGGAGCCGCTTGTGTCACTTTTAACGTCAGACTCCAGGTCCCTGTCAAACACTGCAGAAAGGGGCCCGTAAGGGCTCGCTCGGTGCTCGTGGCTTTACACGAAGGTGTGTGAAACAAAATCTTACTTACGCCTTTTGTACGCCTCCTTTATGCATATGATTTGCTAGGCAAAGGAAGCAAAAACCAAAGTAATAAGTATAKTAAAATATATATATAAATAAGCAAACGAGCAAGCAGAGCAGCAAGGGGACAGCACACTCGTGTGTCCCAGTGTCTCTGGTCATCCCCGTTCCTGCTGCATGCCCGTCCACRTGTCCCCACCTTGTTGCTCTGCGTGCACAGGACCTCGACGAGCAGCGACTCGTCGGTCCCGGCGCCCTCCATGGCCTTGCGCAGCGCTCGGGCCTCGTACTCGCAGGGCCGGTCCAGCAGGGCCAGCACGCTCTTCTCGAAGTCGCCGCTCAGGTCGCCCTTCAGCACCTCTGCCAGATCCTGCGGAGGCGGCAGGAAGGGTTAGTGCCAAAAGCAACGGGGGATGCAGGGCTTCTCTATTCACTGGTTGTAGGGAACTGAAGGATTTCAGGGCTTCTTCAGTACCGAAAAGGAATGATATCAAAAAATATAAAACCCCACRGAACACACAGACACATTTTTTGCAATTAAAATTCCCTAAAAATAATTGGTTTAAGTTGATTGAAATGATCTTCCCATCCTGAGATACCAGCAATACTGGACCAGTTTTAACTCTCACTGATCGGAAGAAATGCAAACTCATGTTTTAAAAGCTTGACAGAAGAAGCCTTCAAACACAATGTGGAAATTTCCTGCTCTGAGAAAGTTGTAGTAGAAGGAATTTAAACTTGCTAAATTTTTTTTTTTCATTTATCTTAGAAATGATTTCCTGGGAAAGGCAAAGCATTTCTCCAAAGTGCTTTGCTTTCAAGCAATCAGCATTCTCCACCAAGGAAAAGAAAACCTTTTTGATGTGATCTACTTAAATCAAAAATTAATAAGACCCTGGAGAAGAATTAGCTAGTGCATATGTGTCAAATGAACATTCATGCTGACTACAGGAAGTCTTTGACACGYACATATCATAAGTGGAAAGAAAACCCAACTTTAAAACTGTTGTTCCTCAACATCCTCTAAGAAGATTGCAAATTAACATTTGATCTATTCAAGGAAAAGAYGGACCTTGAGGTTGGAGTAATCTCAATGAGCCACTTCTTTATGAACCTAACTTCTGTGAGCTGTTAAAGCAACTGGGTTATCTTACAGAATTTGCTCATTTGCAATACATATACTTGTTAATGCCCATTAGAGCATTACTAGAGCTCATTAGAGCACTGCAAAATTCTGCAGTATTTATACAATCAAAATCCTTCATGTGCTTGCCATCAGGTTTAGAGAAAAAGCCTTTCAGGTTCAGTGCTGCCTGCCTTCGTAGCATTGAGCAATGTCAAATGTGTAAGTGGACCATAAAAGCCAGACTGATTTAATAATAAGCCCTGCAGGATTTGACTGTGTACCTAAATAATACATAGGAAGCTTCATGTTTTTGTTCTATATGGCAAATCACTGGGCAGTCAATGTATCCTCTTGCAGAAACCCCATGCCCAAAGAGATTTCTGGGTCGTGCAATGTGTATTGCATTGCTGGAATTTAATCAATGCTAAATCCATTTAGTTCAGTAGAAGTATAATGGTATAAGATCAAATAGTCCCTCTGAATTTGCATCCAGTCTTAGAGGCACTCTAACTGAGAATTTGCCAGTTACATTAATTGCATTTACACTTTGTTTCAAAATTTTTCCCTCCGAATTGCACTGAAGATGAACATAAGCTGAAATACTTTTTATTTCAGCTACAAGTTATTTTCTAACTTTGATTAAAATGCTTTGTTCTGCTTCAGGCTGGTTTCCATCTTGAAGAACACTCTGAGGCATAAGTCTATTAATAATCATTATTCTAGGAGATAAAAGAAATAACTGAATCAGAAGCTAACCAGTGTCCTATTTAAAAATTTTGGGTCACTGATGTTCTTTGAAGGAGGAAAAGGTATCCTATCTTCCTAACAGCACAATGTCTGAAACGAATTGTCCATTTATTTTGAAATACCTTGCCAAATGCAGCCTTGTACTTCTGCTTTATCTGTTGCCTCTGCTCCGATGTTCGATTTGTCAAGATTTCAATAATTGTCTTTTCGTCAGTTCCTAAAAAAGAAGTTGGRCACACAGAGAATTTTATCAGGAGCCTAATGCAGAAGAGAAAAAAAAAAAAGAGTCAAGTGCCTTTTCTCCAAAAAGAAGAAAATAAATATACATGTATCCCCTGGTGCCATCTTTAGGTCTTCATGCTCAGAGCCCCATCTTGAGCTGCTTAAGATTTAACAGAGGACTTGAGCCTTCTGTGCAGCAGATCGGACACTGTCTGCTCCAAAATAGGGGCCCTCTTTCTGGTCCCTATACAGGCAGCACCCAACATTGAGAGAGTTTCCAGGGAGCTACCACAACTGGTGATAAAACTGCAAGCAGTATTTGCATCTGGCAGCAGCCCCTTCATTCTCAGCACTGCTTATCACGCTGGCACAGGACAAGTTTATGGCACACTGTCCAGCTTTTCCTGCTTAGATGTGAGACAGCAGGCACGACCCAACTGTAGGCTGAAAACCTCTGCTCTCTGAAAATGTGAGGTTAAACTCTTAATAGAAACGTCCTATGGGGAAGAGTCTTGATGGAAAGCTCATAGGACAAGAGCAGTTCCTAAAATTCAAAYGTTTCAACAAAGTAACTGTGAATGTTGGTACTCTCTTGTTCTGTCTGGCTGCTCCTCCTCTGCTGCATGTTGCCACTTGCATGGGTCTGAAGAACACTGTATTCTTCACCCATGTTAGCGCAAAATCATCCATCTTATTGTAAACTCCCACAGAAGATGGTGTGAGTCAGCACTTCAGTTAAAAATCCCTGATGGAGACAGGACCRCCGTATAATGGAGACAGAAAACCACCTTTCAGGTGGGGGAGCTGTGGTGGGGTCTCAGGAGCATATAGAGGTGGTRATGTTTTAGGTTGTTCCCTGAAGACCTGGGAAAGGACCTGTACTGATGACCTTAATCTGGTCTGACTGCCTGGACTGTCCTTATCAGCAGGGACAGCTTGATGGTTCTATTTCAGTGAGCAAATGCCATGTTCATCCTAACTCCTCGGAGYCAAGCAGCTGGCAAAGCAGATGCTTCAGACCTTCCAGGAACAAGCTGGCTTCCTTTCCCATTTGTCTTAATCATATAAAACTTCATGGTTATCTGTGTGTCAGTGAGGGACAGAAAACATCAAGATTAACTCCAAATGGTTCAAATAGTTGTTTTGCCATAAGTCTCTGCACGTGCTTTCTGCAATGTTGAACTGTCCTCTAYATAAACCCCAGGCATTTTCTTACCYGCTCCTTTGCAGGCTTTATGCAGCTTCTTGGCATCCCGGTCTGCATCAAAGCCGTGATGACGGTGATGAGAGGTCGACTAGAAAGACAGAGGCACAACAGGTACATGAGAAACAAATTTGCGTTAGTGTCTCTGATTTACAGAAGTTTGGGACTTGTTGCTGGGTTTCTGTTTGCCCCACCTAAGTTGTGACGTCCAAGCTGGGCTGGACTGGGGTGACACCTCTATCTAACACTGCTGGAACTGGAGCAGAGCCAGCTGTGACCACCCGCACAAGGTGCTGAGCCKGAACAACCTCCTTCTGCTTGTTCAGCTTTGTTCACATGATTTTCATACAATCACGTGGCAATAGACAGCTTTATGCCAGATCAAATATTATTTGTTTGTGCCACTTTAACCTTAGGCCAATATAACTTCTCTGTCAGATGCCTAGAGACTCGTGCTGCACCTCTGCAGTACATTTGTAAATGCTGGGAGCTGGTTTTTCCTGTCTCCAGGCAAAATCCCAACTGGCCTAATAAAAACAGACCCTTCAAACCTTCCCAGAGCTGATGCATTTATACAAGCAGATAATTGGGCACATTTACCACCATAAGGCTACTGGAGCTTTTATTTATTTGTTTATTTTGTTGGAATAGTRCATTTGGTTGCCTTGAGCTAAATCTATCAGATACAATAACTCAAAGTCCGCAGCAGCAGTTTACAGCCTGGCATATATCAATAGCTGAAGGCTTTGGCAAACTGAAAATGCTGCCAGTTCATATGAATCAGACCAGCTGTGAATCACAAGGGCTGAGACTTTGGTACACCCTCTGTTCACAGCAGGTTAATAACCTTTGCAATCCCTCTAGCACCACGAATCAGACCTGCTAAGCGCTTAYGTGCCAAAACAGATGTGTAAAATGGGTTCTGGGCTCCTAAACTGATTAGAGCCACATGCATCCCATGAACTGCTGGATCCTAACACAGGTGCTGCAGACGCCTTGGAATTTAAATGCCAAGGGCAGCAAGTGGGTTAAATTTCTTGCTTTGCAGGTTGCCAGACCTCGGCTCRTGGCTCTGCGGATGAAGGGCTGTGACACCCCAGGGCACAGCACTGCGCTCACCACCGTGTTTCAGTAAGGGTAATGCAGCCCAGGGCAGGGCTCGGTGCTCCCAAGCAAGTCTGAAAACGTGGTGACAGCTACAAAGGCGTCACCATCCAAAGACGCAGCCATATACCAAGGATAAGAGCCAAATCCACTCCCCACACTGGTTTTCACCTTTGTGACAGGCTAAAGTCCGTGCAAGTACGTGGCTTTCCTAATGCAGTTAGCAACCAGGGTTCAAATTAATGCTAATTGTAGTTGCTGTAATGCAACCATCTCATTGAAAGTACCTTAACTGAAAGTTATTTTTACAGCAACTGCAATTCTCTAATTGCAATTATAACATCGCAAAAAGCTCTCTTGGGCGTCCTACAGCTGYGTCCCAAGGTAGCACTTTCACTGCTGTTATTAGTGCAGATCTTGCTTGTAAATATATATGCTATCATACACTAGGATTGTAAAGCGAGCAGATGTCAGCCCAGACAATGTGCTTATCTAAACCTTTCAATTAAAGAGGAAATGGATGCATATAAAAAAAAAATATTTTCCAGGGGGAGATTTTGTTTAAGACTCTTCAAAGCTGCCAGGAAGAGGAAATGGAAAAATGCTAGTTTACTGAACAGATGCATTTGCCTGAACTGACTTCACACTTCTCTGTTATCGCAGTGTGAATGTGCTTTTCCTTGCTGGAATTGGGCCCAGAAGACATTTTTGTGCAACGTACTTGAAGATTAAGCAGGCCTGATGCCTTTGTGAGCTCAGGTTTGCCTCTGCAAGACCACCCTAAATGGTGGCAGCCAAGCGGGCCCAGCCATGAGTTTGGGTCAGCGGGACAAAGGCCTCCTTGTACAGAGCGGGAATGAGGGTTTGTTCCTGAGCGACGCTCGGGATTTGGTTGTTTTCAGGCACCGCAGGAATCTGCGTCAGCTGGGCCAATGTGCCCACCTTCAGATAAACCACGGTAAAACATTAATCGAGGCCGGGGAATATTGTTCTCAGGGCAGTATGTGCAGCCCTGGCATCACAGCTTTTATAGATAGGAAGGGTGACCCTCTGGGTAGGCGAYTGTCAAGGCCGACTCCTGAGTCACTGGGAAAAGTCTGGTTAAAATTCCCTATCTTCTGGCCCCACTTCTGGCCCTGGGCACAGCCGTCTCAGGAAGGATGGCAGCACGTCTCTCTGATGGAGTTTGCTGTGAGGGATGAATGGCAGAACAAGCGGGTGTTTAACACCGCTTGGGGCTCCGCACATATTACTCACTTAAAACTAGGAGTAGAGTCACTGTTTAATACGCCCGTTGTTTTAGGGCTAAGCTTTGAGATTGGGATTGAGTCATTAATGACTCTCAGGTGTTCACACCAGCTCACTGATAGTGGGATGTGGAGTCTGAAATACCAGCCGGGCTGATTACCCACGTATTTTGCAGCCGAACATAGCAGAGAAGGGAACTTTTCTTTCTCATTTCCTTCCAATACTATTTTAATTAGTGCAACCAGTGTTCTGGGAGCAAGAAGCCCTATTTTAATTTCCAGCCTAGCTTTATCCTTGGCCAGGCTGTGTCCATTTGTTTTTAGCTGCCAACAATGTTCCTGGGCTTAAACAGCGGTCGCCTACATGACACGTTTACAGGCAGTGGTCATTTTCCTCTGCAGCTTTAGCTGAAATTGTCCCAGATTTATTTCAGTTAAACTGGATAGATTATTGCTGGTCAAAACCTACCATTTTAACTTGTAGTAAAGCACATAAAGTATTTTTTCTTATTGCCAACTGTGTTCTATTTCAAGGACATGTAARATGAGCTTATAGCTGCTGATGACCCACAGTGCTTAGAGAAGCATTTGGAGAATTTTCTTTGAAATGCTGGCATGGGAAGTGCTTACGGTGCAAAAATACAGTAAAAAGGTCAGCAAAACTAAGAAGGAAATGTAGGAAAAATAAGAGTCCCGATGGGTCCAAGGCATCAATAGCTAGAAAGTTGCAATACTTGGCAGAAATTTATGAAGACAAAACAGGATGTGAGCCTCACAACCAAACTCTAATAGCTTCCCAGATCTAAAGTGGATACAAACTGCCACGCTAGCAGAAAACACTCACAAAAGAAACACCACCAGGAGCATGCCAGAGAGCTGCCTGTATTGCCAAAGAGAGACAAAGCGCTCGGAGAACAGCCGGGAGCGGCAGCTCCTGGGCCACGCCCGTGCCCTCAGGCCAGGGCCCGCTCCGGAGCAGAGGCTGAGGGAGCAACAACGGTCACAGCAGCCGACAGGGCAGCGGGGGCTCCGGATAGCTCTGGCCCGGCCTGGTGATGGGCCTGGGTAAGGGCAGACATGGGCCCTCAGGGCAAAGCGCGAGGACGGGCAGGGGATGTAAGAGCTAAGGACAAAGCTCTGCTCAAGACCGGCCCCCTCCAGGCAGGCTGAGTTTGTGYCCCTCTTCACTTGTACCCGCTCCATTTAGATGCCTTATTTCAAGCTTATCTTGTGCTTCATTTTTCCTTGTCTAACAGAAGGGCAAAGTACATCTAAACCACAGCCCGTAGGAAGGGCAGATGGACCCAGTCCTAACTTTTACATGGAAGTGGGACTTGGAATAAAGAGGTTTTTTACCTACTAAGTGTAGGTATCACCTGCCACTGAAGGTGCCCCCRGGTGCCTCCTGTGGTCCTAGGTCCTGGTGCAGAAGCCTCATGTACCTGAGGGCATCTCCAGCAGCTCTTGAAGCACATGGTAGACAACAGCWTCACTGCTGTTTATCAGTTCTGTTACTTTACCATGAATTTAATTCTGTCGAGCACAATGCATTGGAGAGAACCATGTTTTAAAAAGTATATATACAAAAATATTTCCCTGTGCAACTATTTTAGTCTTCCTTACTACCAAACCGGTGAGTGCCCCAAATCCCTCTGCCTGGTCTCCCACAGAGTTTATCTCCCGGCCGCCCGGTTTCAGTGCCTGTGTGGCCTCCTCCCACAGAGCAATTGCTGCGAGTGGCACAGACATAACAACCATCACTGCCGGGATTCTCTGGTGTCTGATAAGGGTTGATTTCATGGCTCAGCCTTTTGTTCAGGAGAGAAGACTTCCAATTCCATATTCTATGGATTTGCTTTCTTTTTTTTTCTTTTTTTTTTTTTTTTTTCAAAGGAAGGGATGATTTATTTCCTCTGTCAAGAAATGCCCCAAATCATCTGGTCATTTTGTTAGCATGATAAATGACAGGCTTTGGGTGTTTATCTCATTAGTTAAATTGTATCTAATATATTCCTATCACAGAAGGCATCTTTTGGCAAATCACTCCCTACATGATTAATTATTTATCAACGCATACATACTTAAGATTAATTATTTATCCTAGCAGAAGCCGTTAATGTAACTTGAATCCAAGGTTAACTTGACTGCCAGTACTGGATATAGAAAGAAAAAGGACACATAAAACCACAGCTCATGGTTTTAGTCTTCCACTACATCACAAATTATTGGGATAACACCCTGTTATTAGAACAGACCTCCAACTCTTCCCCAAAACAATAGTTTGAGTGAAAAACAGCCTAATTCTCATCACTCTCAAGCATTTCCTTGTGTTAAGAATATAGCACAAGAATAAATGTGGGAGCAAGCTGCACTATTCTGCTTCTGCTTTGCTCCAAAGGACAGACTGAAMGCATTCGTCCTTCACCATTAGTCTAATTTATACTAGAATAGTCATTTCCAGTCATAAAAGCTTTGTTCAACCTATTTTAATACTTCCCCAGGCCCTTTTGAATAGGGACAGTTTTTAGATTGTAGTAGAAGGAATGAGTCTATAAGAATTAGTCACTTTAACTATAGCCTCCTATAGCTACATAAGGCCCTATACAAGGTGTCTCCGCAGTGGGACAGCCCTCCAGCACAGGGGGCTGTGGTTACACTGTTCAGCAGTTGCAAGAAGGACCACAGGTGAATAGTTAGGGGGGAAAGGAGGCTGATTTGCTTAGAAAACTCCAACCTGACGATCAGGAAAGGCAGAAGAGCAGATAAAGCCTGCTTGGTTTCAGGTCATAGGTACTTCCATGAGGAAAAATTCCATTAGTAACTTCCATTACTAATGGGCTGTTTAGCACAGTGGAGAAAACAGCTACATAAACCCCTCCAGAGATCAATTACTAGTGGTCAAGGTCAGGCCTCATCCAACTAACACGTCCTATGGCCACGTTTTTGGTGGGTGAGGACATCTGTAACAGATGGTGAGTTCCCCAACTCTTAGAGTCCTCACATGAAAATGAGTGGCTTTTCTGCAAGACTTTTTTGCTTTTTTTTCCTTGTTGAAATTCAGGTAACTGGGCTTAAGTATTCAGGTAGGATTTCATGGGSAATACAAAGGTCTTTACCACAAGGGTCACAGCAGATGGGAACTAACGTTTAGAAGAGAAGCCAACAGCTGCGGCCTACTGGCTGCAGGGAAGTATCACCAAAGGTCAAAGATTTGGCTGCTAAACCTCTGCAACTGCAGGAAACCCCTTAGTCCTGGTTTGACCCATGGGTGCTCTTGGTCTTCTTTTTGGACATTCCTCTACTGCAACATCCACTAAAGAAACTAGTTCTTAGGGAAGGTAGTAAGATGAGCTCAGGAGGGAGAGGTTTAGGCAGAACATAGGTCACTCAGTCGGTGAGTGCTCCCTCAGTGTACCCTTTCGACAGCAGGAGTTTCATTCTTTGCTGTGCAGCAGACTCTAAGACATACCTGTCACCCTGGTTTGTTTGAGGAACTCTCTCAGGCAGCTACAATATGTAACTGGAAAATTGCCACCTGCTGCCATGACTGTTCAGAGGATGATATCCCCATATCTGAGCACCACTCACTTACACAAACTGCAAAATCAAGGCATGTTTCTCCTACAATGTGTCTCCTGTTTCAAGGCAGCTGTTAATATATCACCTCCCAAGAGATCATGACTATTTTTTATCCATTCAGTTTATTTCTACTCATCACTATGATAGAGACGTCCACAATCAAGAAAAATAAGCTTTGAGAGGTGTTCTTCCAAGGATGAATTTTATATCGTCCATTTCTAATGTGTCTTTACTCCTTGACCGAGACTACTTTTAAGAACCAAGTCAGGAGTTGTGATGCTGTGGGAGTGGATTGCTGAAGCTGTGAGATAGCTAAATACCATCACCTGAGACATCCCGGCACCCATGAGCTCTGGTCTGGGCTGACGACCTAGGACCAAGGGGACCTGAGCCCGTCATGTAGCAGCAGGACCCAGGTAGCGGGCTGGTGACGTCCAGAGGCACCTGTTATCTCATCTTGAAAATAAAGGCCTCAAATACGGCAAACAAACGTCTTCRTTCTCCTAGGACAAACCTGGAATTTCAAGTCTAGATTAACTTGTCGCACTAGGGATGAATTTGTCTCCTTTAATTTTACTGATTAGAACGCCTGGTTCTCCACCACTGGGTACACTGGGCTGTCAGTGCTTATGATAACTGAAAGGGCTGAAAATGGGTCTACTGTGCCTCTTTTTCAGTGAGATACCAAATCTCTGACCAGAATGGTAATGCTCAGAGAGCTCAAGTGTTCTTACAATTTATTAAMAATTTTACACTCCTCTCAACTTCAACTAAGTCTGGTGATGAGGTCCAGCAAGTTAATATTGAYGGAACAGATGGAAGTTAATTCTTGTCTATGTGAGCAAAAAAAACAAAAACAAAAAACCCGAAGTATGCCTATATAAAGCTCAAATACATGGACTCAGTCTTCAGGGATGTTATGCTTGTTAATATATTCTAAATCTAAATTATTTAAAAGGAAGCCCCAAGCCTGCCTGCTTCTCCCTATGGTCACTAATGTTTCCTTGCTTATAAAATATTCCTTTCAAGATGCATTATCTAAACACTAAATGAAAAATATGTCTGTATGTATCAGAGGTCCGTACCTAGTTGTTACTGTACAGACATTGCTCGGGTAGTGTCCAACAAACGGATGTCCTTTGCTGAATGTGGAGGTTTCCGTGTCTGACTCCTTTCCACCTCTCAGGATGGAGGAAATTTCAGGATACATACAGGTCACCTGGGCCACCAAGGTTGGCCCAATCTGTCCATTACTTCACTGGGCAGCCCCAGTTAGCAATAAAGAGAGGGTATTTTGTCTGGATTTGATAGTCTATCTTCTCTATGTAGGAAAGCCAGAACTTGGCAGAGTCACTGAAGAGACTGTATGCACAGAAGAGCTTTAGATTCCAGCTATTTTGCACTTCTTTGGTGTGTGTGCATGTAGAAATAATGGTACTTTAATATTTCCAGTAGTTTTTGGCCATGACTGAAATGCATCATAAATGTTTCATGGATRGAAAATAAATGTTTTATGCGCTTGTTGAAACCTAAGACAGCCGCACCCGGGTCTAAAAGGCGCAACAAATACTACGGATAAATGAGGACCATGGAAATGAATGGGAATCTGYCGTGGTTTTTCCCAGTATTGTGGCTGAACAAGAAGATATTTCTGTCTTTTGCTGTCTCTAGGCTTATGGCCAGGGACTGAACAAGAACCTACTGTCACTGAACGTTGGTCTGTCAGAAGCAGTAACAAGTAACTATTGTTGGGCTTTGCGATGAGATAATAAAACGATGCTGCGCTAAATAAGATCRGTGCTGTGGAGACATTTCTGCAAGGGGACAAATGCCTACAGAGACCCTTGTGCTCTTTGTGAGCTCTGAACTTGTCCCCCAGAAGCTTTATCAGGTGGATGTGCTCTACAGACTCATACTTACTTATTTACCTTCAAGTTCTCAAACCATCCGGCCAAGGGCAACCTGCCATCCCCTTCTGGTGAGAAACCCTCCCTGGCAGAAGGTTTGTGCTGCTCACTAGGACAAGAGGAACCTTCAGGGTCTCGAAGAACCTCTCTCCATTGTTTAAAACAAAAAACAAAGCCCTTGCCCCTCCCCCAGATTCTTTGAAGTCACAAATATCACAGAGAACAAGAGAATAATTCATATGGGATTCATGAGACATGGAAGGGTAAAGAAGCTAAGTGATTTCACAAAAGTCAAAAACAATCAAACTTTTCAAATCATCGTAGCACAGAAACCATCGCTGCTCTTCTCAAACCTGCCCCAAAGCACCCTGCTTACAGCAAAGCGGCTCCCCAGATTTTCATACGGATTGATGGCAATTTTAATGAAAAGCAGAAGTCGAGATAAGCTTGGAAATCCCTGCACAGACTGCAAAGAGACAATGATGGGAGACCGTAAATCTCCAAGGAGATGCAGTCAAGACTGGTTGATCATTAAAAGGGGAACTGGATCCAATTTTTAGACAAGAGAAAGTGTGGGGAAATGTGCCTATTTAGAGCTGCAATGTTGGGTGTCAGGAGCAGCTCTGGACCAAGAGCTTCACTTCTGTGAGAAAGCTATTCCCTGCTGCTSATTGGATTTTTTTTTAATGAAAACATTTTTTTTTCTTGTAAAATCTGCTGCATTTGTTCAAATTAACATATTTAGGAAGATACTGATTTTAATTTTGTTCTATTTTTGATATGAAGAGACATTTTATACTGAAAATTTCCATTTTAATGGCCTTGAAAGGGAAAATTTTCAAGATTTTGCTTTCAACAATGTTTAGCTTTCATTGCAGACTTTATTTATTAATGATACTGAAGAAAATAAAAAGGTCTAAAACCTAAATCCATTTAACCAAAATGACATAGATGGTCCAATTTTTATTTCCCCATGGGAATATGGGCTACTGAAAAAAAAAAAATCAGAATTTCAGTTCTGAAATTTCAAAGCAATCAAATTTTGGAAAGATGTGGTAGTCAACAGAGTGAAACAAGCTCAGTGTTCACCCAGCTGTATTAGTGTCAATCTTGACTGCCAAACAGGGCTCACTGCTGAGCGCTGCGGTGCCCCCCAAAGCCACCATAAGCCACTGCAAAAAGTGCTGTAACCCCAAGGTTCCCCTTTCATCCTTCCCCAAAAAAATGCTTACTGGCTCCTCTGCTGACAAACTGGTAGTCCCTACGGTTGATTTCCGTATATCCTCTGTGAGGCTGTAAGACTTGCTCTGGAGGTTTAGAAAACACGACACGTAAGAYACTCAGGAACCTATGGTTGCAATCCAGGAGATCAGGAGAAAGAACAAAACTGCAGCGGAAAAGCTCTGTTTAGAACGGAGTATTTTCAGGTGATTCCAGAAGTGGAATCTTTCTCCAAAGTGACCTGCAATTTTCTAGAGATAAACACAGAAGGGCAATAAAAGGAGGTGCAATTCCCAGGTGAGTCATGGGCTGAATCATGGGATACTCCTTCACCAAAGCCTGGCACCTCTTTCCCCCAAAGCCTAAAGCACAACTTCATTTTCCTATAGGTACCGTCCAGGCCAGCGTTGCCGGCTTCCTTGTCCAACACAGAGCTCCCACAACTGCTAAACTGGCTTGAGGTTGTAGAGATGTGATTTCTGCTCTCACAGATAGGCACCAACTGGCTAATTTAAAGCTAAATTGGATACATCTACCCCCGTCCAGTGAAACGGATACTCTGCAGCTCTCAATGCTTTGCTAAACTTGAATGAAAAAAAAAAATAAAGCCATGTAATAAAATTATACACATCCTAAGAGAGAAACGATTGCAATGTTAGTCTATGTCAGCTAATACTGTTGTTACTGCTAACCTGCAGATTTTCTGAAATCAATATGCAAAGCTGAGTAAGTAGTATGTGGATTTATCCATTAATTTTAAAATAAAACTAAAAAAATCCAACTTCTTCAGTGCAAGTTATTTAATTTTCAGAAGCACTGAGCATTCACAGGTCTCACTCCAATTTTTGACAAGTAGGCTGCTTTGAGAATAAATATGCAGATTTAGGTATTTATTACTAAACACTCAAACATTAGTCAAAATTCTCCCAGTCAGAACTCATCTGGTAGTTCAGCGTGGTGAGTCCTGATGCCTGGATTGTCATCAGGTCCTTCTCAGAGCACTGCAGTTGCAGATTACTCCTGTGCCTGCTTAGTCAAAGTTAGAAACTTTAACTTAGACTAAGTTAAGTCAAAGTTTGAAACCGTCAGTCTTTGGAAATGCAAGATTTTCACAGACCTTCCGGGAGTTATTTTAGAGTTTAAGATAGTCCCAATACATTTTTGCCACTTAAGATGAGCTGTCCCATGACATCCCACACTCAAAATTAAAGTACTGCCATTTTCAACCCTGCCACAATCAGCATTAAAAGACTCAGACCCTGTGTGTTACAGTAGCAATTTCATAACTCATATAATACAATGAAGCGCATGTTATTGGCTATATAAAAACAGTTTTGCCCCTACACTTAAAGTAGGTTTTGCACTTTAAAGTAGACATTTGCAATTGTATTAATGCAATTTAAAGTGAAAATGGACGAAAATAATAAAAGGAAATGGCTTTGCATTCTTGACAGCCCAAATTCAATAGCTACTTACATGCGAGCCACCCATTTTTGCTTAGTCTGAGCGTGGAAGATGCAGCTCTTGTGCTCCTCAATAAAACCAGCATTCAGATGGAGTAGTCAAGTTTTACTAGAGCAGCTAAATCATACCCAGCCCTAGGTTAATCAATAACTTTTGACATTATTTAAATTCTAGTCATTTCAAGGTGGGGTGTGTTCATCATCGCACGGTGGCTTTATCATCCGTGGGATCTAATAGCACATCCTGTTGGGTAACAGAGCTGGCTGCTCTCTTCAGGAAAACCATGCCCTTACAGGATAACCCTCCAGGTCATATATAGTCTTTCACCTAATAGTGATTACAATGATTTAAAATATATATAACGAAGGTAATGCTCAAGAAGAGTTGCTGAAACATTTTAGAAGGCAAAGTCCCYGCTTTTAAGATTTAATACGTTGTTGAGGTCTCGCTGCTTCAGACCATGGCTAGGACAGGCACAGTAAGGTGAGAGAGAACAGGAACATTTGAATGTACAGCAGCTCTTGGGAAAAAAAAAATCCATGGGATTAGCTAAATAGCTATAAATAGTGATTAGCAAAACCAAAATCACTGCATTACAGAACGTGCAGTACTCATTCTAGGCCTTGGGACTACCCATCATTTATTTAATGTGCTCCTTTTTAAAATATCAATGTTTTCTTTAACAGCCTGACAGACCACATTTTTCTGCAAAGCTCTCTCCAACATTCAAACACAGTTAAATAATCGGGTGTGATTATGCTGTTCAAATATGTGAAATGCAAAAATGAAATGTGATTATGAAGAACAGCGTGTAGAATTCACTGCTTTATGRTAACAAACTGTCTTAAAGACATTTTCAAAACCTATACTGAGCTGGCAACCTCCCACTTCACAGCGTTTTGGGGGACAAAACCAGCCCAACTCACGTTAAGGAATCAGTGAATTTGGAAAGGAGGAACCTCAATGTTTCTCTGCAATGGCCTCCAGTACAGGCTTGCAATCCTACTGCTTTCAACGGTGAAAGGCTGCAGCCCTGAAAGTAAAACAGAGAGTCACTCAAGGATTTAAAACAAACAGCAGAGTGAGTCACATTCTATGCACCATATGATATTTCACATGTAAATGGTCTATTTGCACATGCAAATAGGGTGTCACCAGGCAAACTGGCAGAGAACAATTCTGTAGAATTAATGTATGCATTGGGAGCCTAAAGATTTGCATGATTAACAGAAATAAAGGACTGGATGGTACTTTGGGCTCCCGCAGAAGACCTGGAGAGGAACCTAAGTTCCTAAGAAGGAACTTAACTTCCAAATGCTCCTTTTGGAAAGGAATGCAAAGGTTTGAAAAGTAGAGCGGGAGTCCTAAGCAAACAACCAGCCAGTAAATTTGGCTAAACCCARGTATTTACAGTGAATCTGCCTCCAGCTAGAAGGCAGGGTGTCCGCAAAGTGACCGGTCCCACCCCAGGACATACAGAAAACACTGATTCTGTTGGAGAGGAGGCAAAATCCCAAAGGGGAAGGCAGTTTGTTTGAAAGTGTAATGAAAAATACAGTTAATATAGTGTGAAGAAAAGGAAGAAAACACCTGAATAAGAAAAGAAAAATGTAGAGCTTTGGGGAAGGTAATTTCAAGGATGAAGAACAACTGGAAAAGAATATAAACAGAAGTGGAAATTTTTCTAAAAGGGAAGGAAAAATAGGAAGTTAAGTAAGAAAAACATAGCATTAAGTCTGCAACAGGTCCTCTTTCAGAATACATAACTCAAAAAAGGAACAGCAACAAGGGCACATAATCACAGCTTCATATAAATGCAGAGAGCACAGGGATCAATTTAGAAAAGCAAATGGGCTGAGTTATGGTCAGCAAAGAGACAGCAAAGGCAAAAAGCCAGAAACAGCAGACAGRGAGAACTGTGGGTGTATTAGGGAAYGTGGAAGGGGAGCAAMTAATAGATGATGCCCTACCCCATTCCTAAGTGCTTTTAGCATTTAAATCCCTAGTAAAGCATTTTTCAAACGTGCTTTTAMAGAGTACTTAAMACTTGGCAGCACTTATACAGGAAAATAATATTGTAAGGGAAATAGATGCATTCAATATAGCCTGATCCCCACTACAAGATCAGTCTCAAGAACCCAGGATCATCTTTGACTGGGTTCTGATACAGATTCGATCAAACCTTCACTTTGGTTTGGTCCACTGGCCTCGCAGACCGGCCACGGCTGATCCAGACTAGCCTGGTCTGACAGAGTAGGTCTCTACTGCTAACTGCTAACAGAAATGAAAGGAATGATAATAATAATCAAACGGAGGTGCAGGGGCAAATTCCCAACTCCGAGGTCACGGCACAGATTACTTCACCTTCACACTGTTTGAGATTTGCACCTTTTATAGCAAACGTGTTTTGACCCAAAACAGAGCCAGGAACTAAGCTAATAAATGGGCAGTGTCAACAACTAGGAGTTCCCTTGCTTCACGGCTCTATTTATTCAGCCACAGAGAGGTCCTCGCAAYGAACGTCCCTTGGGCTTTTGCCTTTCATTTCTTGGACTTTTCATTRCTTCTTTCACTTTTGAATTCTTTCCTTTCTTAAAACCACAGGTAGTCATCTGGCACGGGGCCATCTCCTCTATTTGTAACATACAGGGCCTGTGTTTAGGTCAAGATTACTCTTTCCAAATCTCAAGGAAAGGAAATCACTTCTCCAGTTCTCAGTGCCTTCCAGTACGCGCATAGTTCTGTATTTTATGAACTAACACACTGCATAATCATATCAAAGCTGCCTTTCACTGCTGTTTATCACGTTATATTGTATTATTAACAGGTTAGCTTCTTTTTGCCTCTTCAAGGAGATTTATTTATTTATTTATTTATTTATTAAGGATCGTTACAAATTGGCACTGCAACCCAGTCGAGATTGTAACTTAAGGCTTAAACTTTCCCATTTTAATGAAGGAGAGTCACACAGCCCGTTGCAAGGGGCAAGGGCTGGTTCGCAGGGACCGGTGCTCCCCGCTTTCCACCCACGGGCTGCACCCACCTGCCTCGAGCTGCAGCCTCCCGGCCTCAGTGTAAGACGTAAAAGCCCAGGACATTTTATTTAATACTTTTCTTTAGGAATTGAGCGAGCTCTTTGTGAATCTCAAATTTATTAAGAAACACAGATTTCTTTTTTTTTTTTTTTTTTTTTTTTCCAGTAGTCTTTCTAGTAATAAACCCAAATCTTGTTGAAAACCATCTGGGTTCAGCACAGGTTCCTCCCCACTCTGCTCCCTTGTCCGACGCTACCGCAGCCCTTTCTTTCTGATTGCATTGACTTTATTCCCTTTTTGCCAGCATTACTACCCAAAAGCCTGAGGGATGTGATGGATAAAACGCAGGAAACCAAGCTGGGACACTCCATTTTCCCGGATTTTTTTGCATTTTCCTCCGCTACCACGCGGGGCACCTGGGCTCTGAGCGTGCRGACTCTGCCCCCCGCGCTGCCCTGGCACGGCCGGGCACCGTGCGCGGCTCGGGCCGTACCGGGAAGCGCCGCCCCGGCCCCTGCCCCTGCCCCGCGGCGCTATCGAGAGCAAACAGACAGTGCCAGGCGGGAAAGCCGCGGGAGCGGCGGAGGAGCCCGGGCGGGGACGGGGCAGAGCTGCCCGGCTCGGGAGGAGGGACGGGACGCGGCGGCTCCGGCCGGGGGCCGTTGAAGCCCCTCGGGAACCGCGCGACGGTTTAACCCCCTCAGGAACCGCGCGACCGTTTAACCCCCTCAGGAACCGCGCGACCGTTTAACCCCCTCAGGAACCGCGCGCGAGGGGCCCGCTCCCCCCTCCCCCCGCGGGAGGTCCCCGCCCCGCCCCCCCCGCGGGAGGTCTCCGCCCCGCCCCGCCGGGGG